TGTGAGCGCTGTGAGCGCACCGGTCATCCCTATATTGTGGGCCTGTGTGTGTGTTTGTGTATGTGTGTGTATATATATATATATATATATATATATATATATGTACATGTGTTTGTGTGTGTATATGTGTGTATGTGGGCATCTGCATGTGTTTGTATGTGTTTATGTGTGTGTACATGCACGTACGTGGGTATGAGCATATGTTTGTGTGTATTTGTGTGTGTGCATGTGTGTATGCGTGTATGTGCATATGTTTGTGAGTGTGTGTGTGTGCATGTGTGTATGTGCATGTATCTGTATGTGTGTGCACGGGCAGGATGGAGATGTGAGACAGTTTCTCCACTTTAGCATCAAATAATGACAGCCAATATCTGCTGCTTGCTTCCTATGTCCCAGGAATGATTCTCAATGCACGTTAAAAAATCTAATCATTGTACCTATCCCACAAGGCCTGTGCTATTAAAATGACAATACTGAGACCCAGAAAGGATAGGTGAGGTGCCTGAGGTCACATCTGTAGTGCCTGTTTGAGCTGGGATTTGGCCCCAGAATCCACATGCTTAACCCCTCTCTACTTTTCAGCTAATTTAAATGTCCATTTTCTGCTTAAGATTTGTTTTCAATAAAATACTATGCTTAAAAGTGAAATTTAAAACCACTGATCCAATCCATTTCTCTCTTTTACACATAGGAAAATTGTAACAGAGACCTGGAGTGATTGGAACCATCTCATATGAGCACAGAGTCAGAACCAGAATTTGGATCTACAGACCCTCAGCACAGCTTTCTTCTACGGGGTCAGAAAGCCTTACTTTGCAAGGGAGAATGCACAAGCATTGGCATCGTACCCAGAGAGCTGTAGGTAGAGCCACTAACACAACCTGCCATGAAAACTCAGATGCCTTTCACTTCGCTTCACTGCGAAGACATTACCACATGGGGTTTGTAATATTTGCAATATCACTGCTTGTAATATTTAGACTATCTTTGTAAAAAGTATTTCATATATACATTTTTTTTTTTAATTTGAAGACCAGAAATGTCTTTAAAATGATGAACCTGTTAAACTCCCTATTGGAGGGCTCCTATTAGCTTCTTTAGCCACAGCAGCTCACATCAGCAGCTAAGTGCTCATCTGCTAGAACTGCTAGAAAAGCAGGTCGTGAAAAAATGAGCTGGGGGGTTGGGAGATTACAAGGAACCATGAAGCGAGATAGAGAATGGACAGCAACTTCTGGCTGCTCTTCTGCTTGGGAAAAATCTGATGTACCTTAGGTTTTCTTGAGAAAAAAACATATCTACTGCTGTCCGCACTACTAGTAAAAATCATTTCTGAATAAAGAAGTTGATCTGGCACTTAATCAAGTTCTTAAGTTTTGTTATTTCAAATTAAAAAATAATAAAACTTCCTTTGTTAGGTTAAACTACTTTAAAATTTGATTAAATTAAAAAATAACGCTAAGGATTCTAAAAACAAATGGATTTGTTTAATGTTTAATATCTGAAGGTAACATGACCATATAAAATACCTCAAACATGAAGGTGTCAACTTCTTCTCGAATATCTTCATGAGTTAGCTTGTTCCCTTCATCATCAGTCACACTTAAAAGCAAGTCAAGAAAAGCCCTGCGTTTATTTTTGGAGGGGACAGAGCCCCGGTCATCACCTCTACATTCTTCATCTGTCTTCATTTTACTGGCCCGTTCAGCGATGACCTATATGATTTAAATGACAGTCACATGCTTTTGTTTGGACTTTAACGTAACCTAAAACTTATCTTCCTATGAAAATATGCTAGCTTTTAAACTCATTTTTTCTAAACCTTTCCTGTTCTTTGCTTTTTTTTTTTTTGTCCTTTTTGAGACCAGCAGCACCGCACTCAGCCAGTGAGCGCTGTGAGCGCACCGGTCATCCCTATATAGGATCCGAACCCGCGGCAGGAGCGCTGCTGCACTCCCAGCGCCGCACTCTCCCGAGTGCGCCACGGGCTCGGCCCTGTTCTTTGCATTTCAACAACAATTCAGGCTCTTGTGAAAAATAGTTAAAACCTCCTGTTAACATTTAGAGCATTATTTGGAGAAACTTTTAAAAACGAATTTAATCTCAGACAAATTCAGAATTTTCAAGTGCTGTTTTTGCAGGCTTTCTAACAAGGGAACAGAGTCATAGTCTACTAAATAGTACCCTAGAGGTTTGAATGAACTAATGAGAAAAAATTTAAGTGATGGAGAGAATGAAACCATTATATAACAGACTAATTATAGATCACTCTTAATTACATGTTGTATTGGAGAAAAGAAAGAGCAGGTGGATTAGTCAATTCACCCTGAATGCTTGCCATTCCTTCAGCCTGGAATGCTTTCCTCACATGCCTGCACGGCTGGGTGCCTCCCTTCTTTTGGGTCTCGGCTCATTATCAAACTGTCAGAGAGACCTTCCCTGACCACTGCTACCTTAGTTCCTAGCACTTGCTACCTTCCTAAACCTACTTTATTTTTCTCCATTTCACTTACCCCCTGGCATTATATTATACTTACTATTTACTGTCTTTCTCCTTCAACTCAAATGCTACCATCCATGTGGCAGCAGATTTGTCTTTACTCATCGATATATTTCCAACCTCTAGAGTACTTCTTGGCATTTTAAGAATGTTCATTAGATATTTGTTAAGTGACTAAAAGAATTAGAGGTCATAAACTCAATGTGGTTACACATTACAACTTTCTTTTCCTATCAGGCAATGAACCAAACCTGCTTCTAACTGGCTTGAAAGAATAGATTCTAAGATCTTTGAGGGCAAAACATCATGTCTTCTTTTATTCTTTGTGGAACTCCTAGTGCCTAGGGCTCAGTATGCAACTTTCAATATTTCTTAAATGAATAGTATTGTCCATCCAACCTGGAATGCAGTAATTATTATTATTATTTTTTTATTTATTTATTTTTTATTTTTTTGTGACCGGTAAGGGGATCGCAACCCTTGGATTGGTGTCGCCCGCACCACGCTCAGCCAGTGAGCACCGGCCATCCCTATATAGGATCTGAACCCGCAGCGGGAGCGCCGCTGCGCTCCCAAGCGCCGCACTCGCCCGAGTGCACCACAGGGCCGGCCCAGAATGCAGTAATTATTGATGTGGATATTAATGCATGAAATTTAAGGGAAAATATAACTACAAAATACAACCAGTTGGATAGTCTCCTACTTCAGGTGATTACTCTATACTCTGCTGTAACCAATTCAAACGAACATCTCATTCATCTAACATCTACTGACTAATTAATTACCTCACTGTAAGGAAGACATTCCAAAATATTTTAACCAAAATTCACAGCAAAGAAATAATATACTTAAATAGGCATTTTTCAGTACATTTAAATTATAATTTCATGTATATTTTCAATTAAATCTTGCTTTTTCATAAACACGTCTTTAACACAAAGCTTGGCATCAGCTATTCTATAAATCACTATCTCCTGGTTACTTCTGGATTATAAATAAAATAGTAATATCTAGTTAGTTTTAATCTTTTCCAAGTTAAGATACCACAGTAAATGCCCTTTGACTTTGACAGTACATTTAAATTATAATTTCATGTATATTTTCAATTAAATCTTGCTTTTTCATAAACACGTCTTTAACACAAAGCTTGGCATCAACTATTCTATAAATCACTATCTCCTGGTTACTTCTGGATTATAAATAAAATAGTAGTATCTAGTTAGTTTTAATCTTTTCCAAGTTAAGATACCACAGTAAATGCCCTTTGACTTTGAAAACTACTGCCTAATCTGAACATTTTCCAGAAGGCTCTTATACACAGATCCTTCCTTGTCTCTTTATTCTTTTCACAGAGCACCCTGTTTGTTAACAAGTGTTCATAGCTCATACCACATTTCATAGTTATTTGTTTATAGATAACCTGTCCTATTAGACTAACATCCTTTAGGGTAGGGAACACACATACATGTCTTACTCATGACTGTATTTCCAACATTTAGTACAGTGTTTGGTACTGTAATTAAAAGACATGTATGTATGTTCCCTACCCTAAAGGGAACTGTTGGAAATACAGTCATGAATAAGACATATATGTATGTTCCCTATCCTAAAGGGAACACTGTACCAAAAGCTGAGTACATTGTGAATGTACTGAATAATATCGTTGAATAGTAAATGCTGAATAATATTTGTTGAATACATAATTTAAATATAATCATGCTGACCACTTTTTTCCTATTATTATTCAATTCAACTTTTATTTTATGAGTCACAGGCTCCATGGTCCTACACAGGGTATGTTAGCAAAACACAAAAATCATGGACTTACAAAGAGTTCCAGAAATGGATGGCGGTGAAGGTTGCACAACATTGTGAATTCTCTTAATGCCACTGGATTGTACACTTAAAATGGTTATAATGGTAAATTTTATATTATGTATATTTTACCACAATTTAAAAAAAAGTCAAGAACATACGTTGTTGGTAAAAGTGTGTAGGATCTTAAGGTCCCTTTTGTGTTCCCATCCTTCTCTGAACATAAGATACCAAAGGTCAAGCCAAAGCCAGGGCATCTTCATTCTTCGAAATATCATATCACTCATCCTATAAGTAGGACAGAAATACGTTAGCTGTCACATCAGAATGTGTATTTCTTGAGCATCTCTTTGGTACCTGGCCTTATGAAGGTAATACGGGAATGGTGATGATGAGTCTTAGAGGCTACTACGACCTACCTGCTACCCGCTCAACAATGAAGGCATGGGCTATTACACATGCAATGAAGCTTAAAAAACCCCACAAAAGTTCTTTAGAGGAATGATGAATCCCTTATAAAACACTTTCCCTAGATAGCCATGTGGTCTCTGCTTCTTTCCCCAGGGCAAGTTCTCAACTTCCCAAGGCTGCCTGGGGCTTTTGTAGCAAAGGTTGAGATGAAATCTCCCTCTTCTGAAAGCCTATGCATTTGCTTGATCACTCTTCTGGAGTGACAGAAGATAACTGCTTGCTCTCTTCTACAAGAAAGTGCTCATTAAATAGCCATCGGTCACATGGCAGTCCTGAGCACCTCCCCCTCATTTCCAGAGATAAAACAGAAAGATCTCTACATGATCTCCTTCAGGACCAGCTTAGATGCCAGTTCTTCAGAGAGCCTCTCCTGGATACTCAGTCTGTAGGACATATCCCTGTTTTCCTCCCTAATGATAACTTGATCTTTTCTTTCTAAGCAACTATTTCAATTTGTAAGTTTATATTTCTTTGTTTGGTGCCTATCTCCCATGCTTTTCTGTTCTGTGTACCACTATAAAATCAGTTAGTACCTCGTGCAAGGATCAGCAGGTTACAAATGCTCAATAAATATTTGTTAAAATGCAGTGAAATGAGCAGTGGACTTAAAGATGGGGTACATCAAATCACATCCTGTCCCTTCCTCTCAATATGAATTTTAAAGTAAAATCGATTTTTTTTCAATTACAAAAATGATATCTACTCAGCGTAGAAAATACAGGAAAGAGAATAAATAAAAGCAAAAACAAAATGTCATAAGAAAGAGAAGCATGTACACAAAACAATGATAACCACTGCTAACATTTTGTATAGTATTTTCTAAAGTTTTTTTTAATGACTATTTTTGATATTGCAATGGTTATCATACTACAAAGAAACTGTTTATTTCTTTCTTTTATCACTTAGTATCATGATGTAAGCATCACAGGGTACATCATAATGTAATCTCAATATATCAGAAAATAATCATTTTAAATTTTAAATCACTGCACAATCTGAATGTGCCTTAATTTACATAACCATTCCTCTATGGCTAAAATACATGCTTAAATGATGAGGTTCATTTTTGGTTTAATGTTTATTTTGAAACAATAAAAAATACAGACACAGACAGAAATTATTGCAAAACAGGTAGAAATTATTAGTAATAGTTTTTAAAGCCCAAATTAATAATAATTTTTAAAAAGATTGAAAGGACTCCATTTACCTATAAACTGCATGGACATACTCAGAATCATCATTACTTTGAGCACCAAAGTTCTTCCCCATAGCTGTTTCTATAAAATACGGGTAAGAAGCAACCATTCAATTCATGCATATATCTGGTGTTTATTTTGCAGTGGCAGACACTAAAAGAGACGTTAAGTCCTGTTCTGATCTTACATATTTTAGAATTGTTCTTTCCCCATTTTTGCCCTTCTCTTGTACCTTCTGCTTCTCCTACTCCCTGTTCCTGTTCTGTTCTTTCTTCCCTTTGCCCTTCCTGGCTAGTTGGCTGTGTAACTGCTCTGCTCATAGCTCTAGCAGTGACTGCTGCTTCTCAGGAGGCTAATTTAGCCGAAAAACCATCCTGAAGAATCCAGTGTCCTTTCCAATCCCCTCATCTGCCTTCTCAATGGAATGTTATTTTCTATCTGGGGCATTTATCTTCACACCATAAATTCAGAAACAAATCAATGAGACTTACCACAGATTATATCTAAGGCACAAAGAGTGATGTCAAAAAAGCAGTTAAATGCTTCTTGGTTAACATGTTTTTCAAGCTTATTAGCCAATATATTTGCTTGCTCATTCATGACATCTAAGAAATCTTCCAGAATTGTAAAATGGAAAGTGGGTGTTAACATTTTTCTCCTGGAGCGCCATTTGCTTCCAGTACTAGAAATATAATATGTGGTTACAAATAAAAAAGAAGTAACACCCCCCCCCCAAAATAAGGCACAAATACAGCCTAGTCAACAAAATTCTCTTGAGACAGCTTTATCTGCAGGTTCTCAAACACTTTGGTCAGAATGACAAAGACAGACATATATACACAAGTTTATACTATGTATATATATGTAATATTCATATATAGTTACAAAATATGGATATTTTGGATATTGTTCTATAAACTAATATTTAGAATAGCATTCATAAAATTGTAAAATGTAAGAATTTTTCTCAATTTCTAAGTTCTCAGTTTCCAAAAATAAGAGTTTTTTTCTCTCCCCTGTCAATACCTTAGTCCTCAGATGATCCACATGCTTCATGATTCTACCTTGATCTCTATTGTGTTCAAATTCTCCAAAGTCCCTGCAAGGTTCCTGCCTTTCTCTTGCTGGGCCCTTTCTCAGAGGATGGAGTCCTATTTCTGGGTGCCACTGAAAGATTGAGGTCACTGTGCTCAAGGGCTAGCTGTCTTTTCTGTTGGATTTTCAAGATTTCTGCTCCACATACTCCTTTGCTTTATTCTCCTCACACATCAGGACCTCCTGAGTCTTCTGGGAACACTGGTGATAGTCATTATTGAATGCCATGGCTGGAGACTACTATACACCCTGGACTCTTGTCTGTTGAAGGCCCACTATTAGCTGGACCTCTCCTTCCAGCCTCTCTCTTCCATGCTAAAAGCACAGTCTTGCTACAGAAAAAAACTTCCTAGTGTCAATTCCTAAAATAACAAGTTACACAAAGAAGTAATCATTTCTATAAGATAGCTTTACAAATTTACACTGTCATACCTTGTAAGAAGTCCTAGGCCAAGCCATGGTTCTAGAAACTTGTACACAGAGGATTTGTCAATTTGCTTGAAACTAGTTAAAATTGCCTTGGGAAGAAACAAAAAAAAATTCAGAGACATATAGACATCAAAACAACTTCAATTATAGGAATACCTGGATAGAACACAATTACTTTTTAAGGCAATATTTCATAACCTTTATTTTCTCTGTCATTCATTTTCATTCCTGTGCCTCAGAGAAATTCAATTAGAGTTTTAGATATATAACTGTCATTTAGTCTTGGGAACTAAATGGAGTTGAGGGAAAGAAAAATGTGCAAGATGATTCCCTGGTTTCCCCATGAACTAGAAACCAAGTGGAGTCACTTAATTAGGGGTGTGGAAGCAGGTGAATCTGGAGGAAGACTACATCTGGGGGGAAGGAAATCCCAAGTTCATGTTCACGTACATTGCCTTTGAGGCGTTCAAGTTCCGTAGTCTGAAAGCAGGTGTGAAGCTCAGGATAAAGGCCTGAGCTAGAGATACATATTGGAGTGTCGCCAACGGATAGGTAACATTGGAAGGCATGAGTGTGATTGGATTACCTGGAGAGAAAGTGACGTAGGAGAAGGGATGAGCGTCCAAGAATGAGCACAGAATGCTCCCGGCTTCTTGCTCGCGTTCCCTATTCTGGACAGATCTCTACTGCATAGACCAAACCACTTCTACTAAATCAACAGTGGCTGAAATCCTATGCCAGGTCCCCTCACTATCTTCTCTGAACTGGAATTCTGAGTGTGGTACAAAAGAAACTCTAACATTTTCACCACAGTAACTAAGAAAGACATGTTCCAGCACTATTTTCTAGGAAATTCTATTTTTAATTATGTTCTACAAAGAGAAGCTCTGTTTATCCCCTTTTTACCCCCTGACCCAAATCTTTTTCTCATCATACCACAAGATAATTCCTCCAGTGTCACAATAATGAGTAAAAGGTATATAATCTTTTTGAGCACTAATCTCAATAGCATGGATTAATGATGTTTACCCTGTAAATATCAGATTAGCATTCTCTTTTAAATTTGGAATAGTAAATTTATCATCAGTGTAATATAAGACCCTGAGCACCTTGAGGGAAACACCCATATTTTATCAGTCATATGATTTTAGAGTCTTAAAACAGTGTCTGGAGAATATCAAGTGCTCATTTTGTGGAATAATCTATTTATGGTTCTAAAAAACTTTAGAAGACTTTTCAAAAAAGGAGAACAAATATATGTGGACCTGATAACAAATACACACAGATATCTGAGGGTGTTAGTTTCCCCAGGATTCAGACTACATCTAGAAAGCATTAAGTGACACCTGCATTGCCTAAAATATTTAATGGAATTCTCTTTGTACTGAATCAAATGAAATAGAATAACACATTTATTAAATTTACTCAGATGAGATTCTCATGCTCAAATTTACAGTAAAATATTGATCCTATTTACTACATACCCACCTCTACATTTTCTGCATTATAAAGGGCCACCATAGGCACTGGCCCAAGCCAGAGTTTCAGCAGTGGCATATGGCGATATTCTTCTGTGTACTGAATTAATTGTTGAAAAAATTCTAAGAGAAAAATATTTAATTTTAAATTAAATCAAGACATTGAATTTTGTAAATAGCATTGTACAAATGTTCATTTTCTCATTTTGATAAATATACTAATTATACAATATGTTACCATTGGTGGGAGAGAAAAATATTTAATTTTAAATTAAATCAAGACATTGAATTTTGTAAATAGCATTGCACAAATGTTCATTTTCTCATTTTGATAAATATACTAATTATACAATATGTTACCATTGGTGGAAGCTGGGTAGAGGGCATATGTGAACTTTCTGAACTATTTTTTGCTCCTTTTCTATAGGTCTAAAATTATTACAAAATAATATTTGCCACAGCAAATAAATATAACATAATGAATGTCAGCTATTACAGGATAATAATTATTAGGTTTTGACGTGCCAAAATGTGCACTTTGTAAAAAATCATTGCCCAATATCACAGAGTTTATAGTAAGTGGTAGAATCTGGCTTTGTACCAAGACTCCAGAATATGCCATCTTAACCATTATGCTATACTGTTTCAAAATGTCTCTTGGATAAAACCGTTGTCAAAATTACTGCAAAAAGGGCTGGGTCAAATCACCAGTGTCAAAACATCCTGTGTCATGTTAATATACTGCCTGCCTTAGTCTGGTCTGACAGAGGGCACAAGGAAGTCTGAATCTGTGGTTTGAAGTATCAGGTCCAAAAGCTGGGAGCAGCTGGGGAGGACTGGCATTGACATGAGGGACTGGAAAAGCATGAGATTAGAGTTTAGAGGCCAATTGGAAGCCAACGGCAATATTCAAGGTAAGATTACTGAGGCCAGACTTTGGACATCTGCTACAGAATGAAAGGCATAATAGCCTCTTGATAGGAGACAGTGTTATTGACAAACAGGGATTTATCAGAGTATTATAAGGTGTATTCCCAACTACACTGAGCTCATTGCTGGGCACAGAGCAAGGCCTCAATAAATGACTAACAATTACAAAACATATTCTAACCAAGTTCTGGACAGTGATCTAGAAAATTTGCATACATTAAATATAATCCTTAAGATGATCCTGTAATATAGTTACTTTTACGTGTAAAGAGACAAATACCCTCTAACTTTGAGAATTTTAAACAACTTCTCAAAAACAACTTGGTTACAAAGCTGGAAATTGTGCAACAATTTTCCTAATGCTAAAATCCAGTACTTGACAGAATAAAATGTCTCTTTCTAAGAGACTGCATATTGTCATTGTCTTCACTCGGAAAGTAACTCCAAGGAGATTTACTTTTAATAATTCAAGAAGCTCACAGTTAGTTTTGAAACAGGTCTTATGCACTACAGATTTTAATTTTTGGAATTCCCAAAAGACTATGATGAGACTTCTTAAGTATATCACTTTCCAGGGGTTAAGGAGAAAAGAATCTATATTTCTACACAATTATTTTTTAATACTATAAAGCTTTAGGGTAGAAAGGAAGGTTAGCTCTGCTTTTAGTATTAACCAAGATGATTTTTATCAATGTGATTTCCATAAATCTAAATATGCTGTTGGACTACTTGTAATATCAATCACATTGATATTTGGATAATAAAAACTTTGCTTCAATTTCTTCTGCCAGAAAATATTTTCAATATTTTGGTAAACATTCTCCGATGAGGCCTCACCTTATTCTGTGAGGTTGAAATGACAGCGTTATTTTTATTTGGGGAAACAGAAGTAAAAATGAAATAATCCTTCAAGCTTTGGAGTTAATGCTCAGCCTGTAAAATTATTATTACCAATTAACCTATAGTGGAACTGGGTTCTGGTCCGGGCCTATTTTTAAAATACGTCATTTTGGGCAAATCTTTTCAGTTCTGGGTATCTCAAGTTATACTTCCATTAGATCTAATTCACCCTCTCTGGTGCAGGACTGCAAATACTCTAGTAATTTTGAGAGCTTTCTAACTTAAAGTGATTTTTTTTTCAATTAAAAAAAACCCCAACTCACTCTTTAATAAACAAGGCTTTTGAAACTTGCCATATGAGTTTACCTGAAGGCCCTGCTACACTAGCTTATTAACTGTTATTACACAACCTCCTTAAAAGGACAAGAAGGAACAAAAGTAGTGGTCAAGTCTTGTGATGCTTGGGGATGAGTGTGGGGGCAGGTGGGGGGAGCCTCAAATGAAACTCTAGTCTCTTATTTGCCAAAAAGGGAGAGAGAGGAAGGCAGCACTAAGTTTTGAAGTATTTACCCGTTTTAAAGCATTTGAGGTGTTCCAGGGAAGTTTCTGTCCTTAAGGCTTCCCAAGCCAAGACAGAAGAAAAGACAGGGTTTTGAGATCTGAGCAGCTACAATGCGGGAAAAGGAGAAGGGAAAAGGCAGAAGGGCAGGAGTTTGGAAATCCCGGATTCTGTGCTACACACAAAGAAAATGTGCATTATGGGATGGGGGCGGTAGCACTTTTGGCAGGTATCAAAGGGAAAACTGGATAGGATTGGGGCTCCATTCTCTGGCGGGTGACAGATGCTTCCCTCTCCTAGCAGCCGAGCCTCAGGTAATGGGGTTGGGCTGGATCCGGGAGGGGCTCCTGGGCGGGGCCGCGCGGGCGGAGAGCGCACCTGCCCTTACCTGCGGAGTCCGTCTTCATCATCAGCGCGTGTCCCACTAGGGGGTAGGCGCGGCCGACCGTCGGAATGGGCTTCATCTGCTGCCATTTCCGCGCGTAGCTCGCCACCCTCTGCAGGAGGTCCAGCAGAACGGTGGCAGCGACCAGGAGGCCG